TCTCTGTCCCTGCTCGACCATGTTCTTCTCTCAAATGCTACTTCTCACTGGTGTCCAGAAATGAGACAGTAAAGCAAAGTCCATTTAGTTCAGGGGCATAACCCATTCAGTTCCATGTGAGCCCTGGACTCACTGCACAACTGATTACATCATTGCTTAAGCCAAGGCAGGAATGGCTTCAGACTGAAAAGGATAAGCCCCTCATGGTAACTTCCCCTAAACATCCATGTCTCCCACCCTGCAAAGGCTTTCTCCAGACCACCTGAGAAAGAAGAAAGGGGCTTTCCAACTCAGCAAATCAAAAACAGGCCCTACATTTGATTGCCCAAAACTTCTGACCCATCCTGGGCTCACCATCATATTGACTTAGGCCATTATCTTGTTACAGCGATGGCACGCAACCAGACTTGGATGCTGAGGGGTCATCCCGTACCAAGTGGAAAGAGCATCCAAGGAGCCCTTTGCCTCCCCAGCTTCATGCCTGCAGAGGCTACCAGACCTAGGATTTTGGCCCACCTAGCTGGGCTGCTTCAGAGGGGAGGGGGAATGAGGCAGGAGGGGCTTCAGGATAGTTCACATCCTGGCCTCTCCAGGCCCCTCCCTGGTCAATGAAAAGCCCCCTTTGTCCCCCTCTCTGAGCTTGAGCTCCCAGCCTTGGAGAAACTGTCCGCAAGGAGCCTGGGCTTCTAATTTCCCACACCCATGTCAGTATGGGGCATTGAGTATGAGGGTACTGAGTACGGCAAGATCAGCCATGGAGTGGGGAAGGCGAAAAGATGCCAGCCCACCTTTCATGCACCAGCTCTGCCAACTTGCAGAGCCCACCGTTTGGGTCCACCCAGCTTCCCACCTAGCCTGTGTTTTGTCAGGCGAGACAACGATGCTTATTGGGGCCTGATGGCTGTGCATGAAGAAACAGGAAGGCTCAGGAGGAGCCCCGGTGTATGTGCAGCATTCTCCTGCACCACTGCACACTGCAGGTGCAGGGTGCACAGGTGGCCACATGATCTTGCCTCAGGCAGACTCACAGTTGCCCCTAAACAGTCACGACAGTCTAGGAGGGCCTCTGAACGATGGCGAACAAAACTTCACCTCCAAGGATGGGCCCAGTTGGAGGAGGTTCTTTCAAGTGCCGGCACGTCTGAGAAACGAGTTGAGGAGCAATAGCCGCAAGCGACAGCAGTGATGAGACAGTAGCCCCATCAAGAGAGGGTAGGGCCTTGCCCAAGGGCCCACCAAAAGCACACTGCAATCCCATTAGAGTCAACATGGTTTAATTTGTACTATTCTCAATGGCAAATTCAATACATGCAATTTTATTTTGAAATATTTTCAGGTACTGCTTCCATTCTTGCATTTGCTTTAACTTTGTACTGTTCACTTTTCCAGTACTTGTTTGGATGTGCAGCATTAGAGAAATACCATACATAATAAATCAAATAGACCGATTGTCTCAGATCGCACAGTAGCAATACTGGGAGGGGATCAAGTTATGTTGATGGATGTGAAAAAGACAGTCACAAAAAATAGCATTTTGTAATCCTCTGCACTTCTAAAGTGTGCCTTTTTTCAGGGATGAAACAAGGGAATTATCATCTTGGTACGTGTTGATGCATGCCAAGGATTTCTGCTTGGGAAGCATTTCCCAAAATCCTGTGTTTTTGTAGCCAAACTGTTGTAGTATAAATGTCAATTCCCCTTTCAAAGAGAGAAGGAGCAAAACTTTCTCACTTGCCTCTACGTCTCAGTCTGAATGAGAGGCTTATAAAATGAAGTAGGAGGTGTGTAGTAAGTCCAGAGACAGGGGAGCAATTAGTTCCAATTGCATTTTGAAGTGGATTTTACACTTTCAAACCATTACATGAATGGAAACGCAGCTATTCTTTGAAATATGCACCTGTCTATGCTTTCCAGTGGAGTTCTCCAAACCAACCAACCAGTCAACCGACCAACCCTATATTGTAAGAGGGGGAAAAATAAAACATTAAAATGCACTGTGTCTGGGATGGTACCGGTGAAAATGCATACCAAATTAGAAGAGGCTTCGGCAAGGGGCGGCATAGAAATGTTAATAATGATGATGATAATAATAATAATAATAATAATAATAATAATAATAATAATAATATAGTAGAAGAAAAGGATATTAATTCTAATATGAACTAAACATGTTGATTTTGGGATGGACCTAAGACTGGCATAATGCTTGAAGTTTCTGAATTTGAGATTGGAAAATTGAGAAAGGGAGAGAAACTGACACGAATACATCCATTCACCAGATCTGGTGATTAAGCTCACTATTAGTATCTAAGCTCCTAGGTGACCCCCTGGACTTGAAATCAGGTTCTGGGAGTTCAGCCTCAGCTGGCCCTCAATTAAATTATCAATAACAACCCCACACCAGTGGAGGCTGGTGGTGCCCACACCAGTGCCAGTGTTGCTGAGGATCCACTCTGAACTTTTAAGGAAACATCTCTGGTGCTAACCAATTTTGGGGCTAGGTTTCAGCACCAAGGACAGCTCCTTAAAAGTTCAGAGTGAACTCTGGAGTGGATGCACACATCTGTTGACACTGCGAGCGTGAACCTCCAATGCCCATGTTCTTGGTCAAGTAATTCATAGACCTCGATGGCCCTTCAAACCTGAAGGTCAAAGACATGGCTTTTTGTCCAATATTGACTACTCGGTTTGGAATGGCTTTCAAAGTTTGTTCTTTTCATCAGTTTCCTGAACATTCTTAAGACTGGAAAGTGCAGAAATCAGATCACAGTCCTTCTGCCCAGAGTGTGTGTTCCAGCATCAAATGACTGCTCCTCTTTTGAGTGTCAGATTTTTTCTTCTGTTGGTGCTCTATAGCAGTCTTGAACTTGGAGGGAGTATTTAAACAGCAAAGTATTTGCACGTAGGGGCTTCCTATCTCAACCCTTGGGTCTTAAGAGATAGTCAGAGTGGGGAGATGCCCTTGGTGTAGGAAGATTGTCACGTCAGCTTGCTCACAATGTCCCGGGGCCTGCTCCTTCTCACCCTCCTCATCTCCACTGGTGAGTGAAGCACACATTTTGGACCGGTAAATCAAGTGGAACACAAAACAAAATCATCCAGACTTTTTTTTGTACTGGAATCGATTACAAAATCATTCATGTTACACTGTGGGCTTTTGTATGATGACGCTTCCTTGTCTTGCTCTTCTCCAGGTCCCAGTGTCCAGCAGCTGCAGTCCCTAAAGCCCACAGAAGTTGTTTCTTCAGGTGGGACTGTCACCATCTCTTGCAGACTGAGCACTGGAAGCATCGTCGATGGCAACTACCCTGCGTGGTACCAACAGAAACCTGGCAGGAAACCTCAGATGCTGATTCATACCACGAGCAACAGACCCTCTGGAGTCCCTGCAAGGTTCTCTGGGTCTAGATCAGGGAGGACGATGTCTTTGACCATCACAGGGGCCCTGGCAGAAGATGAAGCTGATTACTACTGTGGTGTTGAAATGCCCGGGCAGCCAGGCACAGCTGCTCGTTCACTCAGGGAAGCAAGACAAAATCTTCCTTCCTGTGCTCTCTTTGGCCACTAACAGAAGCTACTGAGGCACATGCAAGGGGCCATTATGGCTTGATAGTGCTTCACAGATGGAGAACGGGGAGAGCAAAATCAAGACCTTTGACAAGTGCAAGGCTGGAGGCTGATCAAGCACAACTGATAGAAATGCTTCCCTCTCGACGCCACCAACTTTCTCAAGCAGTTAAGGATGGCATAATGTAGTCAAGCTGTAATTGAGGGGAAACCCACTGCTGCTGAGACCAAAGCTTTGGGGTACCCAAAGGTGATACCAAAATTTTCTAGGAAATGGATTTTGAATTGCTTCCAGTTCAACTACTTTAAATCATCTCTGTGATAGAAACTCAAAATGACATTCACTGTATGTGAGGGTACGGATTTAACTGGAGCATTCCAAGATATCCTAAAAATACTCACTAAATATGTTATATTCTTTACATGTATCATGTGATAGCCATTAATTGGTCATTGCCATCTCTTCCCAAAAATCATCGGTTTGAGACTAACCATGCACAGTTTCTCTTGAAAACAATTCTCATTAAGCCTTGACAAAAATCTTTTCAGTTGTAAATGCGTTGAGGAAACTAAGGAGCTGACGATGTCCCACTGTGTGAACAGAATGCTGGACTGAATGGACCCACAGATGGATCCAGCAGGGTTCTTCTGATGTTCCTGTCTGAAATACCATAAGCCATCAACAGTTCGGATCTGTTCATTGACTAAATTCCAACATCAACACACCATGATACATGAATACTGTCAAACAGTCACAAAGGGATCTAGGAATGGCCCACAAAAACCAGATTTTATCAGTAAATTAGAATGTAATCTGTCTCGAATACAGATCAGATACGTGTGACCCATTAAGATAATGTGGTGTGATTTTTTTTGGACTGTTCTATTTGTCTTCTCTACCCTCCTCCATGATATTCCTTCTCAGCCCTCCCCCTGATTATAAGCTGGCATTTTGTGGCCCATTCATCCCTCAAGTTGTCTCTACAGAATTATGGCTCCTCTTCAACCCTTGGAGTTCCCCCATCCCTACTGCTAATGAGATGTGATGCTCATTTAGTTGGAAAGATAATGTCATTCCCACCTGAATTGCAACGCATTATAGTTCCACACCAATCTGTATCAGTTCCCCAGGCTCGCAACAGGATTTTCATTGTGCTAATTGTGCAGCCAACTGTGTAGCAGCATCTTCTTCCAGACAGACAAAGCAAGAAGCCTCAACTTCTGCCTGTGGGGAGAAAAAAGAAATCTCATGCAAATTTGCTTCCCTAGTCATCGGTCCGAATAAAGCAGCACATGCTCTTTGAGGAAGTGTAGCAATTCTTGCAAAACTATAGGGTGGGAACTTGATTGCGTGCTGGGACACACTTGGGTTCTTCTGGTATTTAAGAACAAAGGGGGGAAGGAAGTTCACAACTGGATACCTTTTGGTCTGAAGAACTGGAACTTGCTCTTACCTCCACAATGAGCCAGCTCTTCCTTCTCCTCGTGCTGTTTGGTTACAGTGGAGGTAAGTGTGCCACAGACTCACAGCACTGATAGGCCCAAGAAATGAATGCCACGTTGTGGGTTTATCATACAAGCATGCTGCTTTTGCAGCCATTCAATTTGTCTGAATTTGGTTACTGGGATAGGTAGAGAAAAGGGAGGGTTTGCCCACATTGCAACAGGGGTCATTGGATCGAGGGGTGAGCAACCAGATGCACAGTGTCCTGCTTTCCCCCCTTCCTTCCTCACGATCAGGGTGGGCCAAAACCATATCTGGAGATGAAGGACCAGGTGAATGGGAGGGGTCCAGGCAGGACTGCACTGACGAGGGGCATGGGCTGTTCCACTAGTCTGGAATGGCGCATTCCAGTCTGGATCCCCAGTACCCCCTTTTCCACTGTACTTTGCCATTCATTCCTCCCTTTCCCTCCGCACTCTCAACATGATCTCTCTTTGATTTCCTGAGGACAAACTGGGCTTTCCTCTCCTCCCCAACGAACTCCTTAGTAGAATTCCCCTTCCCTCAGGAAATGTTGCAGGAAGCCATCATGGGTGGGAGAGAAGACATGGCTTCCCTTCGCGTTCTGCTCATTAGCCTCAAGATACGAGCTTGCCCTCATTTCAACTAGCATAGAAAAGGATGCAAACAGAGTCACCATGTTGTGATGGTTGGATAGAGAAATTGCATCAATGCTACATTTCGTATTTGCTTTTTGTCAAGGTGCTAGTTCGCAGCAAATTCTCGTCCTCCATGTCAGCCTCCCAGGGGCAAAAAGTTCACCTCCAGTCAGAGGTACTACAAGAACCATTTGCTGGTCTCAAGAGAAATCTGGGCAGGTCCCTCACCAGGTTTCTCCTTCCCTATATGCCCTCCCGCTCCTTCAGATCTGAGGCAGAGGTCCTTCTTCGGGAGTTCTCCTTAAAAGAGATCAGGAGGGCGGCTATCCGGAGAAGGGCCTTCTCTGCCGTGGCACCCCAGTTATAGAATATGCTCCCCAGAGAGGTTCTCCTGGCACCAACACTTTTTTCTTTTCGGCGCCAGGCAGAAACCTTTTTATTTCCCATTATTTTAATTGGTTTTAATTGTGGTTTTACGTTGCTGTATTATCGGATGCTGTGCCATTTTATTTTATTTCCTATTTTGCTTGTTGTAAACTACCTCAAGACGCCAGTGGATGGGTGGTCTATAAAAGTTTAAATAAATTACTTAAATAAATAGGTTCCCTATGCTGGTGACAACAGGGACTGGGGATCCCAGCTGAGTTCACTGCTTCTGTCTCAGGAAACAACAGCTGTTTAACCATCACTACATCCAGGCTGAAGATGAGGCTTCCTGGGGGACATTTATGGAAATATCCTGGGCACACCTCCCCTCCTGCAGTGTGAAAAAAAGAAAGATTAAACTACAATAGCATGAAAAGCTCATGGAGAGCTGCTTTGCAGCACCAGGAGAATCAGAACAGGCTTGCTGCCAAGCTAAGTTTGATCCGTTTGATGGTCCCTCATAGCTACATAGCACTGAAGAGATTAGAATTACTTCAAAATGGCTGCTGTGTCCATCACTTCGGCTTTTACTTCTTATAAACCATTTGTGGGGCAGTAAGAGATGGCCAAGTGTTGCTCATCCCATCTTGTCTCCACCCTGCCCTACTTGTAAGTACAATGGAGACCCCTTTTGGACTCTGTTGGAGACTCAATATTGTATTCAGACTCAGTCATGCTTAGAAAACACCCATTGAAGTATCTACCATAGGTAGGACTAAGTCTGGATGTAGCCCATAATCCTGGACTGAATACTCCTTTTGCCTAGTCCAACAAAGACATTCTTTTTCTTCTAATGACAGTGAAATACTATTTAGCCTTATAGCAGGAGTGGCTGCTAATTCTAATCTTAGCTCCAAAGGAACTATCCACAGTGCTGAATCTATTTTAATGCTAATGTTCAGCAGCACAGCTTCAGACTAGAACCTGGAGTGGATACCCTGCCCCACTGACTCCTGCCTCCCCCAGTTCACAGACGGCTGAAGCCAATTTGGGTGTACCAGCAAATATAACATTCAGTTCCTTATCACAGGGTACAACCCATGCCTATTAGACCTACAAGTGCAGCTCCTATCTGGGACATGCTGGGAATTGTGGCATTGTATGTGCCAAACATGCATAGCACCACACCTTTAATAAGATTTCCTGAGAAACAAAACAAAACAAAACAAAACAAAACAAAAAGAATTGGCTTGGAACCACATTTCTTACTGTCAACTGCTACTGATGCTTTTGCTTGTGATGATCATGATGGAGTTCTCACAACATAAACTTTGTTCTCCTTTTTAGCCATGGAGCAGATAGCTTCATTCCATCCTACATTTCTTGAAGAAGATTGCATCCTGCTCAATGATTCAGGTAGTGCACTTGCATTAAACTTCTGGAAATGTGCCTTTTGCCATGCGACTCTGTGTCAAAACTTCTGCTCACTGGGTATAGTTTCTGCGATGGCATTAGTGATCCCGAGGACAACTGTAGCCCATCCTCACGGTGGAGGTGATGGACATTTGATCCCTTCATATTTTATTTATTTTTTATTTATTTATTAAAACATTTTTATGCCGCCCCATTCACCGAAGCCTCGGGGTGGCTTACAACAATAAATAAAACCAATAAGTTAAAATATACATATAGATAATCATAATAATTTAAAACACACAATATAAAATAAGCCGCCCTGGCCAGATAAAATTCAGTGGTATTAACATTTAAAATGTTGCTTAAATAAAAAGGTCTTCGCCTGGCGCCGAAAAACAAATAACGACGGCGCCAGGCGGACCTCTCTGGGGAGCGCATTCCATATGCCTTTCTCTTACATAGATCTGAGGTCCCCCAAAACATCTTGAGCTCCATCCTGAACCCAGCTGTGATTCCAGATACTCCTCTACCGACAACTCACCTCAGTACCAGCAGTGATGGAACAGGTGGCATCCTCAGAGCCATCTAGCCACCTACTGCTAGGAAACAGTGCATCGCATTGGAGAAAGGTCTACTTAGGAGACAAGGTCTACTTAGAAGGAGGCAAACCCATCTGTGGCTACTAATTAGGTCCAATCAGACGCAAGCACTGAATTGAAACAAGGAGTATATAAGTCTTTCCTAGAGCTTTGCTGGGTTTACAGCTTTTCTAGAGTTGTTTTAGGTATTAAAAGAAAGTGGAGTCAGTCATGTACTCAATATTTTAAGAAGTCTTTGTGGAGGTTGTGATCTGCTTGAAATATGGGGTCAGGAAACAAATACAGCTGAGTATAAGGCCTTTGTGGCCTCTCCCTAAGCTTCTTTTCTATGAGTTTAGCACTGGCTTAGGAATAAATCACTGCTCTTTTCGGAAGATACTTTAATTTCTTTGTGAACCAATGCTCTGACAAGTTATTCAAGTGGGTTTCTGCCTTTTTGCACAAGTGGGCTACTAAGATTTGCACTTTATTAACTGAGTTTTCTGAGATGCAATCTGAGAACTAAGGCTGTTCGTAGCATGTGAGTTTCTGGAATTCTGCATTTGTGAATTTGGAACAGATGAGTTATAAGATATTGTCTGTAGTGGAGCAGAAAAAGACAGGAGATCTGTTGAATGGAATATATAATGACATGAAGTTCAAATGTTTCCTTCTGGATAATATTGCATAAGCTACAAGCAAGGAAAAATATCTGGTCATTTCAGGTTTGATTCATGGGTTATATTTTTCATTTTGACCTGTACCTGATTTTCTCAGATTTTGCATAGGAAATATTAGTCATTACAACTCTAGGATCACAATCTTTGTCTTTAGCCTGAAGAGGGTGTTAGAATAATTTTTCTGTATTTGGTAGAACTGAACAACCGTAAATAGTCCACCATATACACCTGTAGAGGTGAGTGGACTTTTGGACATTTCCCTAGGGAGGGCTTTCTTTGTAACTTTCATATGGGGTGGGATAAAAATCAAATACCATCTTTTGATCCTTCCTATTTAATCATGTGTGAGGATTAACCCTTGTTAGCTCTAACTATATTTTACAAGGTCTGTGTACCCTCATTCTGCACTCAGTCACCTTTTTCAATCCCTGGATAGCTTTCTGGATACCCAAAGACAAGAAGGACAATGGAGGTGGTTCTATTCCACAAATGGGTTTCGAACAAGGGTTTTCATTCTGTTTCAGCATTAGTTATTTGTTTCTCATCTCTTTAGAGTTAAATTATTTGTTTTGTCTGCCTTCTTGTGCTGTTGTCATTGATACACCCCAGACTAAAAGTGTATTTAGTAAAATGCACTCATTTCTATACCACCCAATAGCCAAAGCACTCTAGGTGATGTCCAGTCTGTATTCGCCAAGCTTTAATTGAGTGGGTTGGGCAACAGCCTTTACATTTCATTTTCTCTGGTTAAAGTAATGTGTATTCCCAGTACTTTTATGGAGTACTTCTAGGCAAATTGGCCATGAGATTATTGGCTTAACTCTAGCATGAGTAAATTTGACTTCTAGCAGCAACAAAAAGCAGGCTGCACAGTTTTTTGAAGGAGCTACTCTGTAGATTGGAAAGGAGGAGAAAGGTCCTCACTAGCTCTTCCTGAATCCAAGACACTCCTTTGGAGATCTTTCTATAGTATGGCATCAGCAATTCCTTGAGGCTGGGAATCAGTGTGGCCCAGTGGTCAGAGAATTAGACTGGGACTCAGTGAAGACCAGAACCTGGATCTCCTAAGTTATGGATGAATTTGGGCCAGTCAGGTTCAACTCTCAGCTGGTCCCACCTCACAGGGTGGTTTTGAGGAGAACATTGTAAGCCACCTTGAGTTTTTTGCAAGAGAGAGAAGGGTTGGGGTATAAATGCAATGTAAGAAAGGTGTACAGAATGAGCTTTCCATGAGGTAAAAACAAAGATCCATGTTTATTTGTTGTAAGAACATTCTTATTTTTGTGATAAAGTAATTATCTTTTTTCCTCATTGCTTTAAAGGTTTCTGTTCACAGCCAACACTCACTCAACCTGCATCACAGACTGTGTCTCTGGGACAAACAACTGAACTCTTTTGCATTAGAAGTGATGGATACTGGAATGAAATTTCGTGGTATCAACAGAGGTCTGGGCAAGCCCCCCGTTTTGTGCACTGTGCCGGCTGTGACAGGGGAGTAGGGATCCCGGACCGATTCACAGCCTCCCGCTCTGGGAATGTGGGCTACTTAACCATCACCAACACCCAGGCTGAAGATGAGGCTGTGTATTACTGTGGGGCATGGTACAGCTATGATGAGCTTTAGGATTATGTTCTGGTGGAGAAACAAGATGAAAACCTTCACTGTCCCTCTGGAGAGTGAGGGAAACAGCATCAAGCAAGAGGTTAGCCTGGTCTTCAACAGGAATTTGTGCTTACTGAGGGCCTTGGGTGCTTTAGTGAAATGAGCTCACTTTAAAGAACTGATTTCTTAAATATTTGCTTAATTACTTTTGCTTATGCTCTTGCTTCACTAGCCCACACATTTCCTCTGTTTCGGCCGCCTGCAAAGGTGTGCCTTCATGAGACCTTTCTGGTTAGGCAGAAAATAGCTGTGGGTGTCAGATTTTCTGTGCAAAGGTCTTCTCTCTGTGGCCTAAAGGAGCAGATGCTGACCTAAGACTGAGGTTGTGAGGAATTAAGGGCCTGCAGCTGTGACCTGGAGCAGAGTGTGAAATGGTTTAATACAAATGGGTGCTTTTTCTGTGCCTTCCTGCCCATTCAAAAACAGGCAGCTCTGTGTGCACCTAGCCCTTAGCATTGTTACTGTGCCAACACTCCTGTCTTACAACTAAGAATATACAAATGAAGAAAGCCAGCCCTTTGCAGTATTCTTTGAATTCCACCTCAAGAAACCTTCTGCCCAGCACGCATTTCAAATCATGAGCTTTGCTTTTCTGTTTGCTTGAAGAGTCATGTGCATCATTCCAAACGAGCTTATTGGTTGTGTGGTTTTTTAAAGAAATAGCTCTTTCTCTCATTAGAGTGGGATTGTGTGCTTTTTCCCAAAATTGCATTTTTCCTGTGCAAGGTATGAATGATTGCTGTTGAATGTGGTCAGACCAGGACTTGGAAACAAGGTAATTTCTGATTTAAGAACATGAATGAACTTTTTTTCCTCATCTGTGTCCTCCATTCTCATTTTCCCTGAAACATGTTCATATAATCTGGAATACCTGAGTTTATAGGTGTTCACAGAAGACACCTTTGCACATACGTGACTCAATCATGGCCATGGTCACCAGGTGCAGGAGTTTTTAGTTTGTATGTATCTTTAATTTATCACAGAGCTCATTGATAGATTGTATAGGGAACAGCACCTGCTTTAACAGTTTCATGTGATGGTTTGCATCTGGCAGGTCACACCATGATACAAGCAGCTATGCATCTCTGAGGGATCAGTCTCTGTGCATCAGACCCTTGAGCCTTGGTTTCAAGATGGCTGGGAAACATGCTATTTTCCCACCAGACTAGAGGTTCACAAAGGCCATTCCTATACCTAAAGCAAGGGCACCCACCAATTCCACACACCAATGTACTCAAAATTCCCTGTTGATCAAGGAGCTAAGGATTGTTCAACAGTGCTTGTAAGAAGCTTCTGTTTGCTTGCTCAAGTGGGGCACTGATGCCTTGTTTTCACAGCTGCTGGGTGACCAGTCTGCAGGTGATGTCCTACCTCCACTGCTTGTAAGCTTCATGGAGATAATCCTCTAGCTTCTGCTGGAGCCTTGGGGTCACTTCTGCTTAAGAAAAACCCACTAATTTAACTGCGTTGGATTCTGTCTTACTTGATTGATGTTCTACAGATTAATTTTCAATATGCCTGACAGTGTGGACCAACTGGGCTAGAACACTTTTGGCTTGATCCAGCAAATTCATTCATTTTGATAATCACAGCATTTTGGAGGTACAGAGATGATTGAAGTCAGTTCAGGCCTATCCTTAAGTAGAACATGTGATTCCATATTTTAATGAAACTGTTCAAAAATCAGCAATGAAGAATTGGAACTAACCAAGCAATACAAAGCTTTCCACACAATCAAATTCCCCCCCCCCAAATATTTGTGTTTTCCTCTCTTCTGCCTAATCACTTAAGAAAAGTGCAAGGAAAACCAGCTCTAACTGTGCAGTTAATCGAGTCTGCATGTCTACAAACCATTCATCTGTCTTTTGAGAGTGTTTATACTCCCAAATGTGTTTGAGGAAAGGGGAAACTTGCTTCCACAGATCATGGGGAATTTTTTCTTTTCCTTTCTGACATTTAAAGATGCTTCCCTTGCTCTCCAGCTTTCATTCCGGCTCAAGTAGGCTTTCACTGTTTCTTCTTCCAATACATTACTCCTCACTAGACTGGGCAAACAGAAGTATTTAAGAGTTTAACCATGCCTGGCTGTGCTTCACCCTTTTTTCAAGAACACCGGTACTACTAGCAAAATGAGCTCAGCTCCAATCTGTGATGGATTTCACCTGCATCAAGGTCCACTTCCACATCAGTGCTATGCTGGGTGTTTGTTATCCCTTCTTTCAGTTGCCCATAAATGCATCTTTGCATGAGAACTTTCAGCCAGACAGAGAAGCATCTGTGTTTGCACACTGAGAAGCACCGAAAGTGAGTTTTGCCTGCTCTTCTGTCTGTGGCCTGTAGGGGTAGAAGTTGGTCTAAGATTGCAATATTTGATCCTGCAAATCAAGGGCGTGAGAAACCCTCTGGAGAATGGTCAAGCGGGGCCTGGGCACTCATTGCATGGCCATCTGTCTCCAAACATGCTGGTGCCCCTTGGGCTTATTGCAGGAGGCATGGTCAAGGATGGCAGCCTTCGCATTCTAGCGCCCCGGAACGAAAGATCCACAGGAATGACGGTTGCTTGGCGTCAGCTGAGCCTGGCCCACATGAAAGAGACAGGCTGTTCAGCACACGGCAGCTCTACCTAGCCATTACATGTAGGAGTGGGTCAAATGCACAAACTTCTCCACAATTCAGCCAAGCTGGGTCGCAGCACATAGTGCTGAGTTGTGTTCACAGAAAGGCAAAAGACGAACCCACAGCAAAGACACAAGCGGGGCAGGAGTGCCACAACTCCATCTCACATAGGTTCCTAAGGAACTGGTGTGTACTGGGACACCAGGTGTGATACTGGGGTCTGAATGCACACTTTGGTCCTCATTTCCTTTCAGATGCACCCCCCCCCACCCCCAGCATTCCTCCCATCCTCTTTGAAAGGCAAATTCTATCTCATTCAGAAGTGCCATCTCTGAACTGAATTGGGAGAATAATTTGTTACTGATGATAATTTGTTTTCCCTTTCCTGCTTTAGCAGCACGTGGGTCACCCGAACCAGGCACTTTGTGTCCTGGGACATGGTACCTTGTGCATGCCCGCCTGGCTCCTTTCTTACGCATTTCAGATCCAAGGTCAGCATTCCAGGCCCCTGGACTTCCTCTCTGATCTCTCTGAGGGCACTTGCTGAAAGGATTTCCTCCAGACATGGGCGTGAGTTGCTCTAACGGCCAACTGAGTGCAGCACACCAGGCGAGGCCGCCCAGAAGAAGACTAGGCATTCGAGCTCTCAGCAGGGTTCTCACGCTTCCCCCCATGCATGGGATGGATTCTAAAAATGCTTGCATCAGAGTCAAAGTGTTTGAATACTTTGTGCGTGCACAGTCTCATTTCTGAATGTATGAACAGCTTCTGGGATGGGTGCCTGTCATGAGAACTTTCCCCTGCAGGGGGAGCTCCTGTCCCATGTCTGGCACATTTGGCCATCTCAGCTCCTACCAGCAGGAGCTAATCAGACAGCTCCAGGACCATGGCAGTGAGCAGAACCAAGAGCACGTCCTCTATGCTTTGGTGCTGCTGCACACAGTTCCGGCCTGGTCCTGGGGAGATAAAACACAGCTCTGCTTACCTCCTGATTTCTGGGTAACGACGAGCATGCTCTGTAGCCATGCTATGCGAGATCTCCCAGGCCATCCCATTTCTGTGCAGAATTCAGAGAGCATTTCTCCACTGGAAGCATGAGGGCAGTTCCATGATTATTCCCTCATAGGTGTTTGCTGTCCGATGGGCTTCTTTCATAGAATGGAGACAAAGTCTCAAATTATCTCGGTTCTGGCTGCAGAATGAGCCCAGTGTCACATATGGTTCAAAATGCAAAATGCACATGTATATAAAAGACATATACAACGTGAGAAATTGGTCACCTCACCCCTCCCTGCCTACTGCAAGGAAGCTCACTTCCCTCCAGGGACATGGAATGGGAATGGCACGGGATGCCTCCGCAGCCTGCTTCTTACAAGATGATCACTCATCCTTGCAGATTTTTCCTGTTTACTGGGGAAAGCACCAGAGCTCATGTCCTCCCGGGCACAGAGGTGTGCCTGTAATGCATGGAGTTGGGGGGGGGCATGAAAACCATGCCAGTTCCTGCTCCCCAGCAGCCTTTCACACTGAGACAGTCCCTCCCCGCCCGAAATCTGCCAAAGGGCCCCCTCC